TATGAGCTAACTATATTTATGTTTTTTTTTTTCTTACCCTCTATCAATGTTTCTTCACAATCTTCATAAATGTCGTTTTGAAAAAAAAATTATAAATAAATAAATAAAAGAAAAATAAAAATACAAAATACAAAGCTATGATTGATTTGTTTTTTAATTTTTGTTTTTGAAAATATAAACTAATTTGATAAAATAAATATCAAAAAATATTTTAAATTTTTAAAAATTATTTTTAGCCTTCTAAAATATAAAATTATATAAAAATAATAAGTGTTTTAATTTTTAGTCAAGGGTAAAAGAGTTTTTATTTTATTTTATTTCCCAACTCAGGATATATAATCTCACTCACCCCTACCCCATTACTAATAATCTTACAAATTTGTTGGATTAATTATTCATTGGATTAATAATTCTGAAACAAAATTTCAAAACAAGCACATGATTATTGGGCCTACGGATTAATAATCTCAATCCCATATTCTAATCCTATCAATCAAGCATGCTCATATTTTGTTACCTTAACTTTATTTTCTCTAAGAAATATTAAGGAAACCCTACTATGTTTTATTTTAATATAATCTTCTAATGTGTTTCTAAACTCATTTCCTCGTTACATTGTCTTAAAACAATTGGCTTAAGAATGCCTGTGGGGGATATGGGATGAAAATATGCATTTGGAAAGCATTGCCAAAAATGGCTAAAAAAGGGCAGTTTGCTTGAATGCAACTTTAGATGTGCTCGAGCTTGTCTGCCAAAACCTCTGCAAAACTTCTGGATGCTCGAAATCCAGGCTTCGAGGCACTTTTTGGGTCCACTCTGACCATGTTGCTATGCAAAAGGTGGAGTTCGTCTCGAGCACAACTTTTTGGTCGCTTGAGCAACTGCAAATGCTTTGGAAAAATTACTGGAGCATGGCAAATGCCACCTACGAGCGCGACCAATTGTTCGTCCTTGAGCAGTAGACAGAATCCTAGAATTTCCAAAATGGAGTTTTGAGGTTTAAAACATTTGGTTCCCAAATT